TTGTACTTATGTATTACCTGATCTACACTTGGTTAGAGGGATTTTCAATTCCTGTGTTCTGGCCAAGGTTTTTTGACTCTGCTTTGATTTCATACTCTGCATTAAACATTTCAATCTCATACATGTTTCAACATGCAGCTACTCAGCGGCTCAGGGATGATAAATGCTGAACTAAGAGCTGCAGAAATCAGCCTGTCCAAACATGTCTCTGACCGGATCATCTGAGTATCTGACATGTGGCCCTGAGGCCTGAGAGAAGCGTGATGATGACTTTTTTCACAAGGAGACTTGTGACCAACCTGCACAGGCGCTCTCTCTCTGACATTGTTGGTTACATGAGCAGCTGAACAACATTTTCCATCCCCATCATCAGAGCTGTGTCTCGACCCAAAAATAAAAAGCGTAGCCCGCTCACGATGCGCTGACACAGGCGCAAATGTGGACGTGGGCAAAAACTCTGACATGAAAATGACAATTTTTAGTCTGTTTAAGAACATGGGAGCAATTCTTAAACAGATGTTGTTCTGGGAAGTCTTTGATGAATGGACTGAGCTTTCTATCAGCTCATAAGCAAATTTCAATTAAAAGAGTGATATAAACCATCAGTAAGATTTCCTGCCAGTCAGATGCATGCAGTGTTTTCCATAGAGAATTATTTCAGAGTTCACATTTGAGTCTGAGTTCCACTAAGAGACATTTCGCCTTTAAACTTCTCAAATGGTTTCATTTACATAACAGTTTGAGGCCGAGAGAAGTTAAAGTATCAGAACTTCCTCTAACATTAATGCATCAGTATTAACAATGTCAGAAATAGGACAATTTACTGGAAAACTTTAGCACATTTTGCTGATAATACTTTTGTACTTAGGTTGGATTTTGAATGCAGGGCTTTTACTTGTACTTGAGTATTTTTAAATTGTTGTATTGGTACGTTTGCTTGAGTAAAGGATCTGAATACTTCTTTCACACTATTGTCAGTTGTACATGCACAAAATACTGTTTCATTTTAACAGTCCATTTCATTTCTTTGTATCGAAAATTATTTCTTTACCTCAGAATTAGAAGAAATTTACAAGATCCCCTCCAGACATGTTTGTAGTCATATAAAATACTCTGCTTTGAATGATAATTTGTAGGCTACCTGAAATGGATTTTCCACTATATTTTTTTATTATCTTGGTTAAAAGTTCTTAAAATTATACTCCTCTCTCATTGAAAAATCCAGAATCTATGAATATGCAAATCGTATTTATTTCAAAAGTATAGCTGGACACAAGATTTCCCTTACTTCAGCTCATCCAGGCCAATATGGGCGGTCAGCCAATATTAGCTTATTTTAAAGATTTTGGTATCAATCTACGTCCATCGTTAAGTAACAAGAAATTGCACTCCAGTAATACCAAATTAGGTTTGACGTCATTTATAAACAGTCTCACCACCCATAGTTTGTCCACCAAAGATCACTGAGAAGTTGATTTTTCATGCATCCTACTGCCACAGATACCCACAGAACATTAATGTACCAGATGACAAGCGCTCGTTGAAAAAAAATACTATGGCCAAAATATAATTATTGGATTCTTTAAAATATCAGTATTGGCCTCAAAACCCCAGCATCAGTCAGTCTGTAGTCCATTCTCAGTGTATGAGCACATCCTTCCACATCCAAATTACTTGTGATGTTACAAAATCCTGCTCTTATTTGCACGTCTAATCTCAGATTTAAAGTGAATATGGAGAAATGCGGACCTCTTTTCACATACATAAGTAAGAAATACTTTTTAATGAGGCAGCAATACGTGTATATACATGTAATTCCTCTTGTTTGTTTACTGCTCTAAGCAGAAACTCCACAACATGGCAGAACTGTGTTGCAAACCATGTGTAATCAAGTCAAATCAACTATATATTATATAGCCCAAAATCACAAATTGGCCTCAGGTTTAAGATCAGTACGACCTCTTCTGTCCTTAGACACTTGATTCAGATAAGGAAAAGGTCTAACAAAACCTTTAATGGGAAAAAAACATAAGAAGCCTCAACAGAGCAACAGAGGAGGGATCCCTATCCCAGGATGGACAAACAGGAAATAGATGATGTGTGCACAGAATAGACCAACCTAATAAAATTACAGTATGGCTACTCAGTTTGACAAAATTACAGATGGAGTGTAAATATATAAGGATATATATGGATATGGGAGGACGCCGGGCAACTTCCAGGTGTTGTCAAACATACATGGGCCACACAACCTCCTCTCCACCGCGGAGACCTGGAAGAGGACAGACGGCACAAACACACATGAGGTAAAACTCAAGCACAGCATTCAAACAGATAGGAGGTAAGAGGGAAAGAGAGACGAGAGCCTGAATCTCCTGGAGGACAACGATCCACATCCAAAACATCTGGAGAGCGGCACTGACAGCCAGGAAAGAGAGAGAGAGATCCCAGGATGGCAGATGGTCCAGAGAAGCCTGAGGAGAAGATAGAGAGAGAGGTAGGCACACAGCTTCTTAACACAAAAAAGGAAGAACAAGAAATAGAAAGACATTACAACTAGAGGGACAATTATACATGCACGAGAGATCAAAATACCATTGAAAAGTGATTTTAACAAGGGCAGAAAGGTTGACTGTCCTTGGATATTGATATTTTATTGGTTGTGATAAAGATGTTTGAACGGCAGGGTGCGACAAACTCCACAGAGGCAGCGCAGAGCTGGAGGGAGCTGTCCTTTCAGCACCACAGCCTCTCTCACCCACATATACACACACACACACACACATCACTGCACACTAATAACATAGGAGCCGGTATTTTTTAAGATCATAATGAATTCAACGTTGAGTTCAGAAATTCAAACCCTCAGCGTGACCAACATCAGACTCCAGCCTCACACTCGTTGCTAACTGTCATTCACAGAGAATCATCTAATCAGAGGATGACACCATATCTGCCTTTTTAAAGCTGTGAGCTGCAGCCTGAAATCGCCGTTATTAATGACAAGGGCGAGTAAAAAGCGAGAGAAGTGGAGCCTCAAGTCGGACATTTAGCGAGATCACTTCAGGGAAGAGTTCACCAAAGGAGTGCTGCAACATTTGAACTGGACAATCATACAATAAATCTCAGCCTGTATGCACAAATGTAATTCAGAAATCTCCCATCTACCTTTTCAAAGAGAGAGAGAGAGTCCACCATCGCAACACCCCCTCCATCCGCCCCCTCGACGCACAGAAACGGAATTAAAATCTTTAAAATCTTTCCAGCAGCGAGCCTCCATTGCTGCAGAACACACACACACACACACACACACACACACACACACACACACACACATACGTGCAGCGTGGGCCCTTAAAACATCGCCATAAAGAAAGAAGAAATTAAGGAGCAGCTTCTTTGCACCTCTCATCATCCAACAGGAGCGGGGAGAGAGTCTAACCTGAATGTATAGCGCCGCTGACACTGACATCGTGACAACACAAGCTCTGTCTGTGGATCTGTGCAACTCGCTCTCTCTTTGATTGTGTAATTTTTTTTTCTTCCTGTAAGCGGCCAGACCCGCATCCGAGAGCGCAAGCAGAGAAAGAAGAAGAAGAAGGAGAAGAAGAAGAGGAGGAGGAGGAGGGTAAAACAGGGGGGATTGCAACATTCATCATCATTTATTTTTCTACCTATTACATGGCGCAAGGGCTAACCAAACGGGACCGTCCTGGGTGTGATACTGCCACGGTGAATTTGGATACCCAAGCAGCAGCAGCAGCAGCGGCGGCAGCAGCATCCTCCTCCATCCACGGAAGAAACCTCCTCGGCTGTGGCGGCGCCCGCACCGACTCCTCGTCCTCCTCCTGCCGGCTCTATGTCGAGTGATGGTCGGCTTGCCTTGCTGGATGTTCCCCGCTCTCTCCGGATCGTCGACGAGCGAACCTCCTCTGACCGCAGACCCCCATTTTCGGCGGAAACCTTCCCAGAGCTATAGGGCTACATATGGAAACTGGGGATCAAAATTTTAGGAAAAAGGAAAATCTACGCGGCTAATTTATTTTATTTTATTTTTTAGGTTTTTATCGGGTTTTTTTTTTGTTTGTGTGTGTTTTTAAAGCCTGCGTATTAATTAATTAATTAATTAATTAATTTGTTAAACCTAATTTCCTCATTCCATCGTGTGTAGGGTTGATTTGTGAGAAGCCAGCGTGACATCTTCTTATAACCTCACAATAGGTCGTTATAAAACACCCAGAGAATCGCTTTTCTTTCCTCTTGACAGGACTTGAATCAGTCCATTTGTTTACTCTTTTTTATTTCCATTAGTATGATAGATTTCCCTGCTGTCCTTCGTTTCCCTTTCCCTCCCCAGTTTATTATCTCCTTGCTTTTCCCCCTTTTGACTTACAAAACACATTAGAATATTATTATTAATAATAATTATAATAGCCTAATAATAATAGTTTTAGAATAGCTTTGAGTATATTAAGCTATAATTCAGAATTCTTACATGTAAATGCAATGTTATAACCTCTGACTAAAGTAACTGTAACTCACTGTAACAGACATATTGAACTGTTGTACTGTAAGCCTGCCATTACTCTAACACCGCCCCCCCAACCACCTCTGTGCTCCATTTGAGCTCATGTTAATTCAGCTCTGTGCTTAGCTGTAACCTTTACAAGTAAAGAAACGGTTTTGTTATTTACTTCTGCAGGCCTGTAGAGAATAAACCTCAGTTTGGGTTATCTCACTTCCATGTTTAGGCTCGGGTTCTGCCACTGCAGGCTTAATTAATCCTTTATAGCTCAGTGTTATTATTCACGTTTGTAGCTTTTTTTTTTTTTTTGCTGCTACACCTGCAGCTGAAGGCCTGCTGAAAGGGCTGTCATCCTCTTCAAACCTGATTTTTTCCCCCTCTTTTTTGGGTCCCAAAGTAAGAACAAACAGAGAGGAGAGACATCACTGCCTCTTCCCCTCTTGACCCCCCCCCCCCCCCCCCCCCCTTCCAACCTCAGTTTTTCTCTTGGGTTTGTCCTCACCCAAACGCAACCATAAGGTTCCTACCGCATCCTCCTCCTCCTTCTTCCCTCTCCTTCCGCTCGAGTATATCCCGTTTTTTCGGTTTGGTTTGGTCCCGCAAATTTTCAAATATTTACTTCCTGTATATCAAGAGGAAAGGGGGTCCCCCTTTCATGGAATGCGGAAACATGGGTCTGTTCGACCGCGGAGTCCAGATGCTGCTGACCACGGTGGGAGCCTTCGCGGCCTTCAGCCTCATGACCATCGCGGTCGGCACGGACTACTGGCTGTACTCCCGCGGCGTCTGCAGGAGCAAGTCCATGAGCGAGAACGAGACCAGCAAGAAGAACGAGGAGGTGATGACCCACTCGGGGCTGTGGAGGACGTGCTGCTTGGAAGGTAAGAGAAAACTCTCTGCTGTGCTCAACAAACTTTTCCACCATGGTTTCATTTGTAGGTTTTAAAGCTGTCAGTGTTGTCCTGGCAGGCCACAACACACGTGTTTATCGTTGGATGTCAAGCTGTCTGTACTTTTTCATTCCATGCCACTTGCAGTGTGAGGAAGCACTTCAGTGCCTCTGTTTCCCCACATGAAATGCACAGCAGGGTTTGACTGAAACTGTTGTTTAAATGCCAGAATAGCAAATCGGACTGCATTCATGCTCCTAAATTCCAAGAAATGCTCTGTCTTGGGACCAAGGGGTTGCAAGATAAATCTGAGTGAGCAGGTTTAAAAGACAGGAGAGAGGAAAGATCCTCATTCTGTTTCAAACAAATGGGTTTCTTGTTCTAATACTCCTCACATTTTTGTTTTTTATTGTAAAATTCCGGACATTTTACTTCCTTGTGTCTCTAATGAAACAATCTGAAGAAAAATCACTCTGTGGTTGGAATGACACATGCAAGCTGTGACATGGTTGCTGCTAATAGACACTTCATTTTAAGAGTTGGATATAGACCGTAAAGACTAAAAAATCAATCCAAAGCTTGGTTGAATCATTAAAGGGAGAGAATTCTGCTTCCACAGTTTCTGTTTGCTGTTCTAACCTTTCTCTACTTTTGGCTTTTTGTCCAGTGAAATACTGGATAGTTTCACTTCTCACAAAGAATAATCACCTTTTCGATTTGATGTGACACATGCTGGGAGACACTGCTTCATTTTAAGGAGTCAAAAGACTAATATCGTTATTTTTGGGTGTTCAGCTCCTGCAGGCAGGGTGAAGCAGTTTTCTGGTTGCAGCCTGAAGCTGTTGCATAAAAGCCTCCCACACCACTCTGGAACAGTTTCTCTAGTCAGACATTAGAGTTTAAATAATGAAATAATAACATATTCACAAGCTGTAGTTAGGAGGGAACCTTCATCATATATCAGCCTGATGTATTGGCAAACCAATACAATGCTCTAACACTAATTAAAGGACGCTGCAGGGGTTCTGTCCAGTTTAAGAGGATGTGACAGTGAGCCGGCAGTTTGGACAGGGTGTTTATTTTCATAACAAAGCCCCAAAAGTAAAGTCACGGTAGCAGAGATGCGAGCCTGACCCGCCTGACAACCTTTATGATGGCCAGGCTTAGTAACTCTGCTCATCACGTAACCTTTGCCCTGGCTGGGTTCGGTACTTTTTGAGATGTCACACAGCCTCATGTCCTGGGAACAGGTTTGGAGACGACGTCCTGCATCTGCCCCGTCAGAGGGATGCGGCGTGTTTCCTGTCATGTTCCAGTGGAGGCATTGAGCACTGACTCTGAGTGCAGCACTTTAACCTTGTGAGGGCGCCGAGAGTTACAAACCTGCTCATCCTCTTGGCTGTGAGATTCTGAAAGGCCGCGCAGTCTGACTTCATGCTCCTCTGGCTGTGATAAGCAGCAAGGCTCTGTACACTTTCCGTTCAAAGCTTAAGATCTGGTTTGAAGTAACAAGTCCAATTTAAAGCGGCTATAATCCACATTGTTACAATAACAATGTGTGACATGACAATGTGAAAGATGTCGCTCGTACTGATGCGAGAATTATCACCTGAGTCCGCGGCTCAACTCAGCTTTATAGAGCTTTATATTGAGTTTTAGCTCATTGTTCATCTGTGGCTGCAACTTTACTATTTTGTTTCACTCTCATAGCATTATTTTTGGCTGCAACAGGCAGCTGTTTTCAGTGAAGAAGCTCTAAAAACACACTGTACACATCCTGCTCAGCAGACAGACACAGTTAGAGACTAGCTGGTGAACATAGTGAAGCATTAAGTAGCCAGACATTTCCATCAGGAGTTTGGTAGAGACCAAAAACAGAGCTACAAGAGAGTGAACATTTCACTTACATTCATCAGGTGACACAAGCACAACTCCAAATGAATGATAATGTTCCTCCATAACCGCTGGATGTGTAAATAAGCAACAATTTCCAAGTGCCTTCCATGGAAGCTCGCCTCCATTGGTGTGTATGAATGGGTGAATGAGAGACTAATTGTAATGTGTAATGTAATGCTTTGGATCAAAGTTCTATGTAAGTGCATGGCCATTTACCGATTTGTTAAATGAGAGAAACTGTTCCTTTCCAGCAGAGTAAGGATAACATTTTAGTTTAAGTATCTGTACAAATATCCCATTGGCACCGCTATCAAAAAAGTTTAATTTGGTATCCACCTCGACTTCTGATCACAGCGCTAACACCTCAGCTGTTCCTGAGAAGCTGCTCAGGTGTCAACAACAGCAAACTGTGGTTTCACTAGTGCGACTCCAGACGTGAGTGCTTTTATACGTTTGTGAAAGTGTAACAAAGTATTTCTGGGAAAAGAGCTCATGGTGACCTTGCCTGGATAGATAAAAGAGACTGAATTCTGATACAGTGCTCTGGTGTATTAACTGTTCCTACAGTGACTACATTGATGCACATAGGATTAATCACAGCTGGAGAGTAATTGTGACAGTGGCTGGCCTTTATCCCTGCTAGGCCGTTATTTAATTGGCAAACAAAACAGCAAAGAGTCAAGACAAGATCAAAACATCACACTCTTGGCTCCTTGTGTGTCGCTTTTGTATAGGCACAATGAGCAACTCCCTTTGAATCCAAGATCAAAATGGCAGGAAATAAACCCAGATTTGTCATTTGTGATTCATGAATGATCCCCGGCCCAGAAGAGACAAGGGAGTGGAAAAAGGGGGCCAGTGAATTTACTTACCGAGGTCAGATTCATTTAAATTCTAATTCAAATGACTTCCTGCTCAGGAAATTGGGTCTTAAAAAGCGAGTACATTTAATTATAGGTAGTTTGCACATTTTAGACCAAAAATCGTTGGGAAATTAAAAAATAGGAAAGTACAGAGCGGATGCAGCTGGAGAGAGGCAGAGATAAGCAGGCTGCATGCTGCAAACCCAGCCTTGTTTCAGCGTAGATAATCAGGAGGAGTGATATCAAGTTTAACATTTCAGATGTTAATTAGGCTTCGGTTCGCAGCTCAGCTCAATTAATTCAAAGTGCCAAGATGACTTGTATTCATCTTTCCCCCAGCTTTCCTTAAATGAGTGATGGTGATTGAAGTAGTCACGCCATCCTTATCACAGCAGAGAACACAGACTGTGCGTTTGGAAGCGCAGGCCCACACATCCTGCTCATGGAGTGGACACAGGTGGGCGACGGTTTGTGTTTGTATAACCAGCAACTGGAGAGGAGAATCTGTGAAAAAAGCAAAATGGGAATACCCACACTGGGTACTTCAACACCTTGACCTCTGCTTCACTCACCGCTTGTCAGAGAAACACAATAATCTCACTCCTAGAAAATAAAAGGATTTTGTGTCTTGCACAAGAGCGTAGTTTTGGTTTCAGGTAGTTTTTGCTCTTTTTTAGCTGGTTTTGAGTCTGTTCCCCTTAAGATTGTGTTTCCCCCTCACTTTGAAATAATGTTTCCAGCATAGCACCCCCCTCTGTGGTTGGCGTAAGCAGAGAGATAACTGGTTAGGGTAAGGATAAGATTGGGGTCATGTTAAACATTGCAAAATACTGATAGTTGGGTTTGGGTTCAGGTAACAGAACACTGCCACTGACTATCGCTTTCGCTTTGCCGGTCATTTCAAGTGTTTCTGTTGTTCCAACATCTCCAACAGCGTGTGACTGTATATCAGTGTGTCTGTTACATATATCCACTGTGTATATATAAATATCTAGCTCTATCATATATACAATTACTTCTGAGATCAGATGATTTTAACAGGAGACACTATTCTGTACTATTCTTACTGTCACCTGTTATGTCTTTCAAAGATCACAAAATAGCTGCAACCATAAGTCAAGTAATCAGTCGATCAACAGTAAACAAACTGGCAATTCTTTTGATAATCTATTAATTGTTTGTGTCGCTTTTGCAGCAAAACATCCAAACATTCTCATGTTGCAACTTCTCCAGTGGGAGAATTTGTTGCTTCTCTCTGTTTCATGTCTTAGTAAACTGGATCTGTTCGGGTTTTGGACTGTTGGTCGGAAATATGACATTTGAAGATGTCACCTTGGGCTCTGTGGAATTGGTTTCTAAAATTTTATAGCCTAAACTAAATGATAAATGGATTAATTGAAAACGTTTTTGGCAGAATAATCAATATTGAAAATAATCAGGTGTTGCAGCTCTAGATCACTTGCTGCTGTTTTCATAGTCCTGAAGTTTGATACCAATTCAAACTTTAATGAAAATATAACATTTAGTTCAGTCCCTTTTTTAACTTTACTGCAGAAGTTTTAAGGCCAGTTGGATGTCCATTTTTAATTGTTTTGTGTTGGTTTCCTTCTAGATTTTGCTCCTAATATCAGTTTTGTAAACTAGTTTAGGTGGAGATGAGGTTTTGGTCAAGGCACATTGAACAGTTTGAATCCAATTTTGTCCTGTTTCAGCTGTTTGATTTTATCCACTGCCAAAAGCCAGACAGCAGCTGTGACTATCACAGTCTTTGGAAGTAAAACCTGCACCTATTGGTCTTCTGCTGTTAATGTTGCAAAGTACTTTGGAGGTGTGTAATTAAGTCTTACAGTCTGGAAACAGTATTAAAAGTTCAGTGATTGTGGTTCCACAAACAGTGTGGGTGCAGGGACAGATTCAGCTGGTGAGACATGAGCGGTGTTACACAATAAACATGTGTGTTTCTGATGAATTGTGCTCTGGAGGCCGCCGCTCCCCCGTTCTATCTGGAACGCCTGTAAAAGCAGCCGCTGTGCTCTCAACCAGGTGTAGTGCTCTGCGTTTGCTGCTAATCTGAGGCATTCATCTTCATTACAGCGCCGCCCTCAGGCTCCACAGTGGCTAGGAGGAGAGAGACAGTCGGAGAGGAGGCGTTGGAGAGAAATGCCGGACCTTGTGATGAAGGAGGGCCACAGCGGTTTCTTTTATTACCTGTTGTATGAAGAGACGTTTCGG